AAGAGATCCGATATTTGACGACCCTGAATCTTATCGAAACAATTTCGATACAGAAGTTGCGATCAATTCACCCCATCATATGATAGGCTTAAATGCAGTCGATCGGCTTCCAGTTTCCTATGGTAACCGCATCTCTCTCCGTCCACATGCGCGTCAAGTTATGAATGCCACAACTGAAGAACAAGAAACCGTTGACAACAATCTTCCCGTCGAAATCGGTGACAAGCGCCGCACATCCATCTCTGCTGAATTGTCTTTCAGGGCAAACCATACAATTCATATATTACTTGTTTTCAATGCCACAATTGAGGAGACCCAAGCAACCGAAACTGTCCTTCGATCTCTCATTAAGAAAGGGCGTGCATTGACAGTGTTTGCCATTTACGGTGACCATCCCTGGACATCAGACAATCTATCGGTATTTCTCCGAGGATTAGCGTCTCTCTGGAGCCACGATCGTCACGGACGATGTCAGAAATTATCTGTTGATCTCCCAATCAATGATCTTCCTCCTACGGCCACGCCAGGATTGTTGACCCTTCCGTCGACACTGCTCCTGCCTCAACAGCTCGAGGCACTTGTCTGGAAAGGACATCACAACCAACTTCACCTGTTTTTCTCTCAACACCTTCCGACTTCGCTCAGGACCCTCATTCTCCACTGTAAAGTGTCCCTACATGATTGTGAACGTTTACTCTATCAGGGAAGGGACTCCCTCCGTAAATTCAACGTTCATTACATAGCATATGATGCCGAAGATGGTCTCTTAAACAGCAACACTGGCATGCTACCACTGAAAACGGTCATGAGTCGCTTGGAATCTATCAGCCTTGTCGCGGATTGGGACATCTTCCCCCTGTTCGAGTATTTCGATTACCCAACGCTCCGTGAGCTCCATATTACGAACTCAAAGCCGAGATTCAAGAAGTTTGAGATCAAGAGGTACTTCACGAATGTTCTTCGCAGCGAACTTACGAGCACCCAATTGTGTTGTGACATGACGCAAGAAGGGAAACATTGGCTTGAAGAATCTCGCGGCAATAATGACACTGGAGACTTCATCAAGGACATCAAGAATCTTAATTTTGATTACTTCCCATCTCTACCTGATAGTTTCTAATTGTAACGACATGTATCCTCCAATTTCTCATTAAACTTGAATCATTTTCATTAATTAATTCTGTGCCTGGTATTAGGTCGCGACAGCTCCAGATGAGGCGCAATCAATGAGTCAATTCATAAAAATGTGGGTTCGGCAACATAAAAAACTGACATCGATTAAGGATTGAATAAATACGCTCAGTGTCATACTGATGTCAAAAAGGCTGCTCAGCTAGAACCTCGGAAATCTCAATAGTCAATTCGTCCTTTGTCTTCAACTCCGCTGCGAAGTATGCTTTTGCACCCCCTGCACCTTTCGTAGCGACAACGTTTCGTATGCGATCATAGGCAGCGGCTCCATCCTCACGCCTAATACAAGACACGAAATCATGTTTCTTGTTATATACTAGAAGTGCTCCTGTGCATGGGATCACCGTCTTTGTCTTGAGGTCGTATGGTAGTTGCACTTTGATGACCATATTCTTCCCGGTGGCGAGGTTTTTTGGGATATGTGCAGCGCGATAATGAGTCTGGGGTGTCGTATGTTCGACGCCAAAGAATCGATTCCGATGGGCCTCGATGGGCATCATGCTCTCATCCTGCGCGTAATACGGCCTGATGGTGATGATATTATCCTCAGAGAACGGTTGACACATCTTTTTATGAGTTCCCCACTCTTTTTCTTTGGGAGAAAAGTGAATATTAACAGGCATACACTCATGTTCGACATACCTTGGCACTCAACAGAACAGTACCGAGCGACATGGCATCTTGATAATGTTCGCGAAGACTCACGTACGAGAACAACATGATCTCCGTAGTCTTTGGCTCCCTTTCGCTAAGGTGATTAAGCCTGATTGGTTGATAATATCCCTCATATAATATCTTGGGTGACAGTAAGACCACTATCAGCAACCTAAGACTGGAAGTTGGAAAGAGACGCTTGAATGTCCAAATCTTTGAAATGCATGTTTACAAGTGGACCAAGTTGTTGCTCTGTTGCTAGTGTTGGTCGAAAAGTCAGGATCAGTCACGCTTCAAGCTTCTGAGTTCTACAAAACCAAATATTGCATTTCCTTTTTTGTCAGATATGCAGCCCCGCTCAAATTTATACGTTATACTGGATGAGCTTGACATCAGGTGAGAGACCTAGCACGATGTTCACATTTCGTTGAACCAATCAAGTCCCCAGAAGTCACATCCACAGCAAAATCGCTCTTCCGCGACTGAAGGTCCAAACAATTCTACGTTTAGCGAGGCTGAGTTGAAATTGAAATACATACCGTACATAAGTATTGCTGATTGGGTGAAGAACAATCTTGCTCTGATCTGTCAAATAACACCTGATGGTGCGCGCCTGGAGGGGTAGCCTTGAAGGGTATAAAATTGAAGAGTTAAATGGAGATACAGAGTTTCTTCTTGATAAGCAATTGAAAGTACAAGGAGGATTACAACACCGATGCATCGTGGAAAATGTCGAAAGGGCTGCTCAGCCAAGACTTCAGAAACCGTGATGACCAATTCATCCCTTCTTTTTAGCTCTGCTGCGAAATACGCCTTCACACCACCCACACCCTTCGCAGCAATGACACTTGAGCGGTCCCATCTTGGTTTCTTGTTTGTTAGCATCGTTGATGAATTCTACAGTTCTGGCCTTCGAACATACAAATGACTTATGTGCGGCTCTATGAGGACAGATAGGTATATGACGATAGAGTAGATTTTATTCGTGAATTTTACTAATAGGTACATTTGACAAGGAAACTAAAAATAACTAAGTGTGCGCGTGTTTACCTGCGCGTGTTTACTTGCCCATCATTTGCTTCCCTTCCTCGATCTTCTTTTCGTTGCGACTCAGTTTTCCTGAAATTACTTTGACCTCGCCCTTCATCTTATTCACGATCCTGCTCTTTCGACGTTCCCCACTGCTGGTGCTTGAATGTCGGTCACTTTCTGCGGAGGCGGATGAATGACGCTTCGTGTTTCCTCCGTTTGAATCCGACGACGAAGGTTTGGATTCCTGGTCCTTGAACTTTGGATCGGGAGGGTGCAGTTCGGCGGGGTGATAACCTGGATCTAATCGAACATCCGGGTGAGCAGCGGTTCCTCCAAACCCGGCATCATTGCCCTGATCGCTCAACGTTAGATATAAATGAAGTAATTGACATGAGAGAACACGCGCCTGCTTGGATGAGGCATGGTGCGCAGCGGCGGCGGTACCCACAACTCCTGCTCCGATACCGGCAGCGGCAGTTTCATGCAAACCTGTCTCATCACCCTCTCGTGATTCTGTTCCCAAAGCTTTTTGGTTGAATGCTCCAGGAACTTGACGTGAAACTTCGTGATCGTGCTACAGGACGTTTTAAATCATATTTCAATGGTATGTGACTTATGATACCTCAACGGTCTACGATGTTTAATCAGTACTCAAACAAAAAGAAGATGTTTGAAACAAACTTGCCTGCTTAAGTGGAGAACCCAACTCAACAGCATCCTTTGCTCTACTGATGCCCATGCCAGCTGCACCAGCGTATCCCATCGCTTTTGGACCTGCATCGTCTGTTACGAAAGTAAGCAGTTATTCAAGGATCACAACTTGACATACATTGAGGATGGATACGTTCTTCAGGAAGCAACGCGACACGGCTCTCGTTTGGACCACCCGGTAAAGCTCCCACACCACCGGACTTACCGAGCACTTCGTGGTCAGTCTCATGCGACGGCATACCTTCTAAACGCCTCTCTTCAGGCAGCTTTGCGACGCTGACTTCGGATGTATTTCCGGGAAGAGAGCCTACACCGACGGTTGATCCGCCAGGCGTTTCTTTCGAGGGTAATTGGCTAGATTGAGAAGTGCCTCCGGCTAAAAGGCAAAGATGCTCTAATCAGTCTCCAGAATGATCGGAATATTATACTACTCACGAAGATACGCTCCCAAAGACCTTCGAAAATAATTTTTCGCGTTCTGATACATGCTGGGCGAAGTCGATGGATTGGTCGCTTGATATCTGAATTGAGACCAATAGTCTCAAGAGAGAGAATGAAACGCACCTCTTTTGGCGTGAGTGTGGCCCTTGCCATATTTATGGTGGGAAGCCTTCTGACTACTTTCCATTGCTCTCTCCTCAGGAAGCTTCGCGACGCTGGTCTCAGAGATATCACCAGGCAACGATCCAACTCCTACACCAGCACCACCTGGAGTTTCCTTCGATGGGAATACGGATGTACGTTCCTTTTCGGTAGCGCTCGTGGCTAAAAGTGATTTTTCAATATCGACACAGACCAAAAAGGCCATCATACTCACGAAGATATGCTGCGACTGATTCGGGGAGGTAAGGTTTGACGGTTTCAGATACACTTTCAATAGCGCATTCGACTGAATTCCTGACACCAGCCCTGGCATTCGTACCTTCAGGCTCCAAGGATCGAACTGGAGGCGACGCAGGCGACGCTGGATCCTTGGCGGAGGCCGACGCCGCGGTAGGAATCGATGTATTAACAGGTGGAGATGAAGCCTGAGTGGAAGCAGCCGAAGTACTATCAGACGGAATGGATGTATTAGTAGAAGATGATAAAGGGACAGATGCTCCGGCAGATGGGAGGAGCGAACCAGTGCGATGGGATGCTGTATCTTGTTTAGTGGCATCTCTCGCAAAGGGGTTCTTAGAGGCGGAGGCTTGGTGACGGAGTTGACTGCTGGGGCTCCTGTAGAATACTGGTCTGTCTTTTCCTGCCCATTCGGTGGAGGGCGTGCGGACTGGGGGATGTGCAGCCATGGTAATCTGTTGCAGACGCAATTTCGAGACCCCTTTTATATAGGTTGAAACTGTCTCGGGCAACCTATGACGTCGAGTGTCGTTACATACGATTCTGGGTATGTTTATCTCATTACCTATAATGGTGAGATGGCCGAGCGGTCTAAGGCGCCAGACTAAGGTAATGATTGATGATCACTGCTATCTGGTCTCTTCGGGGGCGGGAGTTCGAATCTCCCTCTCATCATGGTATGTTTCTGCGTTTGCATGAGATTCATTTTTTTGTTGATCTAGCCTTGTGAAATATAAGCAGTCATTACCGACTGCTCGCATACGTCATCACTCTATCGTGACCCAAAGCACTC